TAACAGCTCTACGAGTAGAGAAATTATATTCCAGAAATATTTCAGAAGGTTAGAACGAATTTTGAAACTTTAATAATAAGTTAAGCGGCCAGTGATATTTCTTTTGTCGTCTCAATAAAAAGCGTAAAATAAACAATATCGTTGCATAATGATTATGAGGTATCGCCTTATTTAGAGCTAAGAGATCGCTTTCTTAGATTTCTAAATATAAGCTCGTTAAGCTGATAGAATTCACATGAATTTACACCTAGAGTCTTTGCCATTGTTACCAACATACATTTGCTGGTACCTTCCGACATTTCGCCGCTGTCTTATATTCCATAGTTTTCAATAATTATATCGATCTCAGAATCAACACGGGCTAATAGCATCTATATTACTGTTCCATCTGATCGAGCTCCTTCGTTTCTGATCATCTATCTTTTACAGTATAAAGAAAGAAAAGTGTGCTGAACTGTTACATAACAAATATATAAACAAAGAATTAAAACACATGAAATTTTAGTTAGAAAAATAAGAAAATATTGGTGAATTGCTATCAATGCTTCTAGTTGGCATTGCATGCGGGACAATATCCTCAGAGACGATGAAAAGACTTCAAGCAAGGGAAATGTCGTTCTACAGAAGGATGCTGACGATATGTAAGCAACGACAAAGTTCAAAAGAAAATGGAAGTAAAAAAGACCCATAACTAGTATGAGAAAGAGACAGTTGAAATTACTTTGGCACCTCACGAGAAAGAAAGGATTGGAGAATTTAACACTAAGAGGACGCACTGAAGGCAAAAAATCTTGGGGGGGGTTTCTAATTATTTTATGATCGTCTCGATGTATTCTTCGGTGTCGGTTCAGGATGTGGACGATCATTGGTCTCCACAACTTCCTATCCTTTGTAGCTCTTAATAATAATAAATCTTGGTAGTTCTTCTAATTCTCTTATAATTGTCTTGATGCATTCTTTTTCTCTATCCGTTCAGGACGTGGACGCTCATTGGTCTCCACAACTTCCTATCCTTTGTAGCTCTTAATAATAATAAATCTAGGTAGTTCTTCTAATTCTCTTATAATTGTCTTGATGCATTCTTTTCTCTATCCGTTCAGGACGTGGACGCTCTCTTAATAATAATAAATCTTGGTAGTTCTTCTAATTCTCTTATAATTGTCTTGATGCATTCTTTTTCTCTATCCGTTCAGGACGTGGACGCTCATTGGTCTCCACAACTTCCTATCCTTTGTAGCTCTTAATAATAATAAATCTAGGTAGGTCTTCTAATTCTCTTATAATTATCTTGATGCATTCTTCTTCTCTATCCGTTCAGGACGTGGACGATCATTGGTCTCCACAACTTCCTATCCTTTGTAGCTATTAGTAATAATAATTCTATGTAGGTCTTCTAATTCTCTTATAATTGCCTTGATGCATTCTTCTTCTCTATCCGTTCAGGACGTGGACGCTCATTGGTCTCCACAACTTCCTATCCTTTGTAGCTCTTAATAATAATAAATCTAGGTAGGTCTTCTAATTCTCTTATAATTGTCTTGATGCAATCTTCTTATCTATCCGTTCAGGACGTGGACGATCATTGACCACAACTTCCTATCCTTGTAGCTCTTAATAATAATAAATCTAGGTAGGTCTTCTAATTCTCTTATAATTGTCTTGATGCATTCTTCTTCTCTATCCGTTCAGGACGTGGACGATCATTGGTCTCCACAACTTCCTATCCTTGGTAGCTCTTAATAATAATAAATCTAGGTAATTCTCTTATAATTGTCTTGATGCAATCTTCTTATCTATCCGTTCAGGACGTGGACGATCATTGGTCTCCACAACTTCCTATCCTTGGTAGCTCTTAATAATAATAAATCTAGGTAGGTCTTCTAATTCTCTTATAATTGTCTTGATGCATTCTTCTTTTCTATCCGTTCAGGACGTGGACGATCATTGGTCTCCACAACTTCCTATCCTTGGTAGCTCTAATAATAATAAATCTAGGTAGGTCTTCTAATTCTCTTATAATTGTCTTGATGCAATCTTCTTCTCTATCCGTTCAGGACGTGGACGATCATTGGTCTCCACAACTTCCTATCCTTGGTAGCTCTTAATAATAATAAATCTAGGTAGGTCTTCTAATTCTCTTATAATTGTCTTGATGCAATCTTCTTATCTATCCGTTCAGGACGTGGACGATCATTGGTCTCCACAACTTCCTATCCTTGGTAGCTCTTAATAATAATAAATCTAGGTAGGTCTTCTAATTCTCTTATAATTGTCTTGATGCATTCTTCTTTTCTATCCGTTCAGGACGTGGACGATCATTGGTCTCCACAACTTCCTATCCTTTGTAGCTCTTAATAATAATAAATCTAGGTAGGTCTTCTAATTTTATAATTGTCTTGATGCAATCTTCTTATCTATCCGTTCAGGACGTGGACGATCATTGGTCTCCACAACTTTATCTTTGTAGCTCTTAATAATAATAAATCTAGGTAGGTCTTCTAATTCTCTTATAATTATCTTGATGCATTCTTCTTATCTATCCGTTCAGGACGTGGACGATCATTGTCTCCACAACTTCCTATCCTTTGTAGCTCTTTAATAATAATAAATCTAGGTACTTCTAATTCCTATCCGTTCAGGACGTGGACGATCATTGGTCTCCACAACTTCCTATCCTTGGTAGCTCTTAATAATAATAAATCTAGGTAGGTCTTCTAATTCTCTTATAATTGTCTTGATGCAATCTTCTTATCTATCCGTTCAGGACGTGGACGATCATTGGTCTCCACAACTTCCTATCCTTTGTAGCTCTTAATAATAATAAATCTAGGTAGGTCTTCTAATTCTCTTATAATTATCTTGATGCATTCTTCTTCTCTATCCGTTCAGGACGTGGACGATCATTGGTCTCCACAACTTCCTATCCCTTGTAGCTCTTAGTAATAATAAATCTAGATAGGTCTTCTAATTCTCTTATAATTGTCTTGATGCATTCTTTTTCTCCATCCCTTCAGGACCTGGACGATCATTGGTCTCCACAACTTCCTATCCTTTGTAGCTATTAGTAATAATAATTCTATGTAGGTCTTCTAATTCTCTTATAATTGCCTTGATGCATTCTTCTTCTCTATCCGTTTAGGACGTGGACGATCATTGGTCTCCACAACTTCCTATCCTTTGTAGCTCTTAGTAATAATAAATCTAGGTAGTTCTTCTAATTCTCTTATAATTTTCTTGATGCATTCTTCTTCTCTATCCGTTCAGGATGTGGACGATCATTGGTCTCCACAACTTCCTATCCTTTGTAGCTCTTAGTAATAATAAATCTTGGTAGGTCTTCTAAGTATCTTATGATCGTCTTGATTTGACTTTATATTGCGTGAACATCGCAAATGCATATCAGAGTCATATTGCATAATGACGAAAGTCTTTATCACGTGTGTCTATAATAAGTATACATAAGAGATATTTATGATAGAAAACATGAATATCAAATAATTTATGTGGTTTATGTCACGGAAATGTCAAAGATTTTATATGGTTTAGGTTACGTAAAATGTCAAATATTTTATATGGTTTATGTCTCGGGAGTATAAACATTTTTACAGGGTTTATGTCAGGTGAATATCAAAAGAGGATTTGTGTTTCTTGTAACGTATGCATCAAGGGCATATGGCATGTAAATAAATATTTTTTATATTGATCATGTGAAGTGAATGTCAAATATTTTACATGGATAATGACGCTTAAATATCGAATATTTTATATGGCTTATGTCAGGCGAATGTCAAAGGTTTTCCATATTTTATCTCACGTGAATACCGAAGATCTTCCATGCTTTATCTCACGTGAATACCGAAGATCTTCCATGATTTATCTCAGGTGAATACCGAAGATCTTCCATACTTTATCTCACGTGAATACCGAAGATCCCTCATGCTTTATCTTACGTGAATACCGAAGATCCCCCATGCTTTATCTTACGTGAATACCGAAGATCCCCCATGCTTTATCTTACGTGAATACCGAAGATCTTCCATGCTTTATCTCAGGTGAATACCGAAGATCTTCCATACTTTATCTCACGGGAATACCGAAGATCTTCCATGCTTTATCTCAGGTGAATACCGAAGATCTTCTATGCTTTATCTCACGTGAATACCGAAGATCCCCCATGCTTTATCTTACGTGAATACCGAAGATCTTCCATGCTTTTTCTCACGTGAATACCGAAGATCTTCTATGCTTTATCTCAGGTGAATACCGAAGATCTTCCATACTTTATCTCACGTGAATACCGAAGATCCCCCATGCTTTATCTTACGTGAATACCGAAGATCCCCCATGCTTTATCTTACGTGAATACCGAAGATCCCCCATGCTTTATCTTACGTGAATACCGAAGATCTTCCATGCTTTATCTCACGTGAATATCAAAGATTTTCTATGCTTTATCTCACGTAAATACCGAAGATTTTCCATAGTTTATCTCACGTGAATATGAAAGATTTTCCTTAGTTTATCTCACGTGAATATGAAAGATTTTCCATGGCTTATCTAATGTGAATATCATTTCATGTCACGTAATAAAGAGGATGAAATGGTTTATCTCACATGCATATCAAACATTTTACATGATTTATGCCATGTGAATGTGTTGTGTAGAAAGACGGCCGACCTTCTTTCCAGTAACTGTTGAACATGGACACGTCCATCCGCTATGAGTAGAAAGTCTTCTCATAGGGACGGTCGTCGCAAATTGGGTCGTAAGGCGTTGTGTTTGAGTCGTACGCATTGCTGCACTGAACTATGGTATTCACTCTTATTGTATTATTAATTCATCTCTCTCATGTGATTAAATTTGTTCTTCACCCAACCTTGTTTCCTTTTTAAATGGTTTGTACATCGTGAATACAGAATATTTTATATAGCTTATGTCACAGGAATATAAAATATTTTATATGGTGCAGGTCACATGAATTTCAGTCATTCTAGATGGCTTAGGAATGAGAGAAAGAATAATAAATAAAAAAAAAAACGGTGGGGAAGAATGTGAAATAAAAGAGAAGGAAAGAAGAAATGACAAAGAAGTAGAGAAAACGAAAGAAATAAAATAAAAAGTAAGAAAAGAGTATTGAAGGAAAGAGAAGGAGATAAAGAAAGAGAAAGACGAAAAGAGTGAGAAAAAGAAGAGAAAAGGAGTAAAGACTGAGAAGGGAGAAAAGATTGAAAATGAAAGGCAAGCAGTGAAAGAATGTGGAATGAAGGAGAAAAAGGACTAGAATGAAAAATGAAGGCGAAGGAAGGAAAGATGAGAACTGAAAGAGAAGTAGGTGAAATGAAAGATAAAAAAGGAAAAATAATAAATGAAAGATAAAGAAGATGAAATAAAAGAAGAAAAGGGAAATGAGAAATGAAAATGAAAGAAGGAAGATGAATGAGAAGGAAGGGGAAATGAGAAATGAGAAATGAAAGAGAAAGAAGAGGAAATGAAAGTGAATGAAAGAAAGAAGGAAAATGAAAGAGAAGGGTGAGGGAATGAAAAATGAAAGTGAAGGAAGGAAAAGGAAAGACAATGAATTGAAAGTGTGAAGTAAAATTGAAGGAAGGAATGAAGGAAAATGAAAGCGAAGGAAGTGGAAATGAGAGATGAGAGAGAAAGAAGAGGAAATGAGAGAGAATGAAGGGGAAATGAAAGTGAAGGAAAGAAAGAAGGAAAATGAAAGAGAAGGGTGAGGGAATGAAAAATGAAAGTGAAGGAAGGAAAAGGAAAGACAATGAATTGAAAGTGTGAAGTAAAATTGAAGGAAGGAATGAAGGAAAATGAAAGAGAAGGAAGTGGAAATGAGAGATGAGAGAGAAAGAAGAGGAAATGAGAGAGAATGAAGGGGAAATGAAAGTGAAGGAAAGAAAGAAGGAAAATGAAAGAGAAGGGTGAGGAAATGAAAAATGAAAGTGAAGGAAGGAAAGAAGGAAAATGAATGAGAACGAAGGGGAAATGAGAAATGGTAGAGAAAGAAGAGGAAATGAAACAGATGGAAGGGGAAATTAAAAATGAAAATGAAAGAAAGAAAGAAGGAAAATGAGAGAGAAGGAAGTGGAAATGAGAAGTAAAAGTAAAGGAAAGAATAAAGGGAAATGAAAGAGAAGGATGTGGAATTGAGAAATGAAAGAGAAAGAAGAGGAAAATGAAAGAGAAAGAAGAGGAAAATGAAAGAGAAAAGACATGAAACTAGAGAAGAGTACTCATTGACAGCTTTCAATTTTTTATTTTTATTTTATTTATTTTAACTGTTTACAGAGATAATAATAACAGGTAATGCTGATATGTGTTAAGTCAGGGATAGCAACGGACACTCGGCGGAGAAGGGGATACATGGATTGCGAATTGGGAATTCAGTTGGGTCGAAGGCCTTTGCTACAAGCTGTGGATTGGCCCTGGGGACCAATCCTTTGCCCCTCCTACTGAAAAAAAAAAGAAGAAAAATTCGGTCAGAGGTTCTTACTCTGGGCCAACTAACGGTCGACAGGTGCAATACCGATGAAGTAACTTGTCAATAAGCAAAGAATAAGCATTTGTTCTTATACACTGTCTCTCTCACTATACAGACAAAACACACATATATATATATATATATATATATATATATATATATATATATATATATATATGTATGTATGTATGTATGTATGTGGCACTCAAACATTTTGGTCCACGTTTGTCATTTAATTACTTTTGTTAATTTTTCTCTCAAATCAAAAGTAATTAGGTATATGCTTTTCTCAGTACATTTTATGATCTTTGAGGGCCAGAAAACAAGTTACTACTATTTTTTATTGGTGCCGTATTGTGGATGACAGAGCATCTTATGCATAGGGATTTCGTCTTAAGAATAATTGTCTAAGGAACATTCCTCTAAAGAATATTGGTCTAAGGGAAACCTGTCTAAGGACATTTGTTTAAGAAATACTTGTCTCAGGAATACTTGTCTAAGGACCATTGGTCTATGGAATACCCGTCTAAGGACTATTGGTCGATAATAATATTTGTAATAAATTAATATTTTATTCATGTACTCATTTTTATTGATGTTCACTATATTACAGAATAATATTCAAAACATTTATAGCAACATTAATTACTGATGATGCATGTGGTTTATAAGCATTTATTGACATACATTGTTTGTATATTAATACAGCTCACATTTGGGCACCTCGAGGTGGTGTAATGGTTGGCAAGCTTGTCTCGCTAGAACAATTACGACTGAGTAGTGAGTTCGATCCTCACTGGATGCCCCATTCTTTCGGCCTTCTGTCACATCTGAGCTACGCTTGGAAAATCACTACAACCCACATTAGACCATAATTCTATATACGAATAATTCTTAGACGTATATTCTTTAGACCAGTGTTCCTTAGATGAATGTTTCTTAGATGAATATTCTGGTTCTCGTAAGAATATGTGATAAAAATAAATACATTTACTTAAACTTCCAAACTCGTTTGCAGACGCCATGAAAATAGCCAGTTTTAACGATGTTAAAAAAAGCGGGCAATTTTCAAACAGTAAAAAAGGTGACATTCCTATAACAGGAATGAATAGGCTTACTACATAGAAATAGTCTTAAAAGTACCTCGAGGCGGTGTAATGGTTAACAAGCTTGTCTCGCTAGAACAATTACGACTGAGTAGTGAGTTCGATGGTCACTGGGTCACTTTTGGCCTTGTGCCACATCTAAGCTACGCTTGGAAAATGACTATGGGTATCTGGTTTATAAGCATTTATTGGCATGCATTGTATATCAATACTGAAGGTTCAATAATATTTAAGAGACTTATAGCAAGATTAATTACTGGTGATACATGTGGTTTATAAGCATTTATTGACATACATTGCTTGTATATTAATACAACCCACATAATTCTCAAGATGAATTGTCTAGCATTCACTGCCATATAGGAGGACCGATATAACATAATTCAGCACTCATGTCTTCGTTTCTAACGAATTTTCCTGTTTCTTAATACCTTGCTTAGCTTTTGGGAGGCATCTTTTGCTATCCCAATTCTCCTTCGGATTTATGTTTTTCACTTACCGTCCTCTTTTAAAACACTTCCCAGATATTTAAATTGATGTACTTGTTTGATTTCTAATTTGTATGTTTGGTTCCGTTTACTTTTATTTTATTTATTTATTTATTTGCTAATAACCATACTTTCTGTCTTCTTACAATTGATGTTTAGTCCTTTCTTCTCGCTTTCCTTCACTATTTTCTGTAGGAGTTCTTGCTATTTCTTTTCTATGTCTGCTATCAATCCTGTGTAAATCTTATGTTGTTAAGACTGTGACCACCATGAATCCTAATTCTCATTCGTCATTAGGATGTTTTCATTTGGTTGGATGTGCGTGTGGTGTAATGGATGGCAGCTCAGAATGAGAAATCGGAGAGCCGAGTTCGAATCCCTACCGAGTTCGTTATATTCACTTACGCGAATAATGCCCTGAAGGAAGCTATGAACCCGTTCCTTCTCCCACCAGCTATGGGTTGAACAGTGGATCAAACCGGTTTCCATAGCCGTCGTTTGCAACCATTTTAGAGATGGTGACTATGCGATTTGCAGGCCGGGAACGCTAGAATCAAGCTGATGCGGAAGTTTAAATATCTGGGAAGCGTCTTGACAGAGGACGGTAAGTGCAACACTGAGATTCGTAGACGGATTGGGATGGCCAAGGACGTATTCCAAAAGCTGGGTAGAGTATTGCGAAACAGGAGGATTTCTTTGGTATCAAAGAATACTGAGCTGTTACGTGACATCTGTTCTTCTTTACAGCAGTGAACGTTGGACGATTTCCTCAAGGATGAAGAAGAGACTCGAGATGTGGTACTACAGAAGGATGCTAAGGATACCATGGACCAAGTGTATGAGCTACGATGAGGTCTTAGGGAGGATGCAAACAAGGAGGAGGCTTATACTTAACATCAGGAAGAGGCAGCAGAAGTTTCTGGGACACATAATGAGGAAGGAAGATCTGGAGAATCTGATACTCACGAGTCGAACAGAGGGAAAGAGAGACAAGGGAAAACAACGCGTAACATAACTGGCGGACTTAAGCAAGTGGATGACAGAACGTGGTCTGGGGGAGGAAGAAGAGGGAAAGAACGAGGGCTGCAAGGGATAGAGGAAGAGGTGGAGATCCATGATCGCCCACGTCCTGAAAGGACATGGCACATAAAAAGAAAAAAAAAGAGTTCTTCTTATAACTAATACTAATATAAACATTAAGTGGTATTCGACTGAAATTCGAGTAATGAATACCGGCTCGGATTGAGGAATCGGAGAGCCGAGTTCGAATTCCAGTCGAATCCATTACATTCACTTACGTGCTAGTAACCTTGGGAAAGGTATGAATCATCTTCCTCTCCCCACAGATATGGGTAAATAGCAGGGCAAACCGGGTTCTATAGCCTTGGATGGCAACTGGTCTACCGCAGAAAGAAATAGCAACCTAATGCGGGGAAAAAATCTGGTCAGTCATGTATCGAAAGATACATGATCGCCTAAGTGTATATCACGCATGGCACATAACTGACTGACCGAGACTCTCACAATCTTTCTTTCACCTCTCTTGTCTAACCTTTGTGGTCTTCCGGTTTTCTTTGCCCATAACCCTTTGAGCCCTGACCCCCGCTTTACCTGTGGTAGAAAAAAAATGACGTAATGCTAAACTACCGGTTAAACAGTGGTAGAGAAAATGACTTAATGATCAGTTACCGGTTGAATGGTGGTTAAACACTTGTAATTATTTTTATATCTACCGTGAAACATTACATACCAATTATTTGCGAATTTTGACTCAGGAGCTCAAGCAGAAGGTTTGAAATTGTTCAGGAACGCAGGGGTCCGAAGTAGCAAATATCTTTTAGATGGTTTGAACACAGTTTAAAAATTCATAGCTGTCTGACTCACTCTCTCTCTCGTTGGGTCATCTTTCCTT